ACTGCTGTTGGCCTCAGTTTGCTCATCTATAGCTAAGGATAATAGTCCCTAACGCACAAAATCTACAAGAGTTTGTTGTTGGGAGACAGGGTCTCGCTCTGTCTCCTAGGCTCTAGGGCAGTGGTTCGATTACAGCTAACATCAGCCTCGACCTCCCAGGCTCAGTCGACCCCCCTGACTCAGCATCTTGAGTAGCTGGGACCACAGGCATGTGCCACTATGCCCAACTAAATTTGTTTTTATTTTTTGTAGAGACAAGGTCTCACTGTATTGCCCAAACTGATCTATGAGACTTTTCACACATAAGGGGCCTCCTGGGAATCAGAACCTGACCTACCAATGTGATTTCTCCTAGGAGGGCCCTTACCCAAAGCCACTTAACTTAATTTAATTAATTTATTATTTATTTATTTATTTATCACCTATACCAGCTGGTTCACAAAGTCCACTTAGTTTAGTCCTCACTGATAGGGTAATGGGAGAATGTTCACTATAAGTATTTTTAAACTTAAAGTTTTGATAAATTTCACAAATGTATGAAGTACTCTGACGTGTCTTTAATGGATTAAGAGCCACCCATTTTCCATGGATGCAACTCCTCAGTGCAGCTGACAGCTGGAGGGGCAATGTCCCCAAATCCAGGGTTCACTTTCCCAAAGAACGTGGGACTGGCCGTGCCGTCCAGGTGCCAACATACTGAGTTAGAAACCATCACTGAACAAAAGGATCTCCTGTGCCTGACTGCAGTGAGCTCTGGGGACTCAGAGGTGAACCAAAGTGTCTGTCCTCAAGGAACTCAGTCTGCAGAGTGCTCAGGAGGAGGTCCCCATCAGGGTGGCACACACAGAACCACGGGCGGTGTCAGCAAGGTAACTGCATCCACAGCACACTATGTGCTGACTAGTATCTCTGTCAAATGCTTGGGCCTTTGACCTCTACAGAAGCTCAGAACCTCACCAGGTGATAAAGCACATTTTATCATCACATTTGATCCTAATCACAGGGTAAGGTTTGCTACCTTATTCTCTTATATAGGAGAGGAAGCTGATCCATAGATAAGAAGAGACTAAGTGGGAAGGCACCAGGGGACTCAACTTCCAGACTAGTTCTTTCTCCTCCACCAATCTGCTTCATCTCACTTTATGTTATGCCTTCAGCTAGGGCAGACCCACTTAAGAAATTAATAAATAGAGCTGGGCACCTGTAATCCCAGCACTTTGGGAGGCCAAGGCGGACAGATCACCTGAGGATGGGCGTTCGAGACCAGCCTGACCAACATGGAGAAACCCTGTCTCTACTAAAAATACAAAATCAGCCAGTAGTGGTGGCGCGTGCCTGTAATCCCAGCTACTTGGGAGGCTGAGGCAGGAGAATTGCTTGAACCCAGGACGCGGAGGTGGAGGTTGGGGTGAGCCGAGATTGTGCCATTGCACTCCAGCCTGGGCAACAAGAGTGAAACTCCATCTCAAAAAAATAAAAGAAAGAAAGAAATTAAGAAATAGAGCAGGAATTTAAGATGGAGATGGAGACATCAGGGGATCATTTTTTGTTTGTTTGTTTGTTTTTGAGACAGAGTTTTGCTCTTCTGCCCTGGCTAGAGTGAAGTGGTGCAGTCTCAGCCCACTGTAATCTCTGCCTCCAAGGTTCAAGCGATTCTTCCGCTTTAGCCTCTTAAGTAGCTGGGATTATAGGCGCCCGCCAACCACGCCCAGCTAATTTTTGTATTTTAAGTAGAGACAGGGTTTCACCATGTTGGCCAAGCTGGCCTTGAACTCCTTACCTCCAGTGATCCAACCACCTGGGCCTCCTAATGTGCTAGGATTACAGGTGTGGGGCACCGCACTCAGTGTTTTGTTTTTGTCTTTTTTTTTTTTTTGAGACAGAGTCTCAATAAAAGAGTTTTGCTCTTTTGCCCAGGCTGGAGTGAAATGGCGCAATCTAAGCTTACTGCAACCTCCACTCCCGGGTTCAAACGAATCTCCTGCTTCAGCCTCCTAAGTAGCTGGGACTGTAGGCATGTGCCACAATGCACAGCTAATTTTTTTTTTTCTTTTTTGAGATGGAGTTTTGCTTGTTGCCCAGGCTGGAGTGCAGTGGCACGATCTCGGCTCACTGCAACGTCCCCTGCCGGGGTTCAAGCAATTCTTTTGCCTCAGTATCCTGAGTAGCTGGGATTACAGGTGCTTGCCACCACCACGCCCAGCTTTTTTTTTTTTTTTTTTTTTTTGAGACGGAGTTTCGCTCTCATTACCCAGGCTGGAGTGCAATGGCGCGATCTCGGCTCACCGCAACCTCCGCCTCCTGGGTTCAGGCAATTCTGCCTCAGCCTCCTGAGTAGCTGGGATTACAGGCACGCACCACCATGCCCAGCTAATTTTTTGCATTTTTAGTAGAGACGGGGTTTCACCATGTTGACCAGGATGGTCTCGATCTCTTGACCTTGTGATCCACCCGTCTCGGCCTCCCAAAGTGCTGGGATTACAGACTCGAGCCACCGTGCCCGGCCGGTCTCGATTTCTTGACCTCGTGATCCACCTGCCTCGGCCTCCCAAAGTGCTGGGATTACAGGCGTGAGCCACCGCACCTGGCCACTAATTTTTTGTATTTTTAGTAGAGATGGGGTTTCGCCATGTTGGCCAGGCTGGTCTTGAACTCCTGACCTCAGGTGATCTGCCCACCTTAGCCTCCCAAAGTGCTGGGATTACAAGCATGAGCCACCTGTGCTTGGCCCATGCATGACTAATTTTTAAATATTTTGTAGAGACAGGGTCTTGCTATGTTGCCCAGCTGGGATCTCTGTTCTGAAGGACAACTTCGTCCTCACCCTAGGGAGGAAGAATCTCAACCTCCATGGCTCTGCCAGTGTGGGTCTCCCACTGAACTCATAGTCCTTGTCTCCTGGCCTTTCCCTCTCCATACCTTTCACCCAGTGATTTTTTTTTTTTTTTTTTTTTGAGACCGAGTTTCGCTCTTGTTACCCAGGCTGGAGTGCAATGGCGCGATCTCGGCTCACCGCAACCTCCGCCTCCTGGGTTCAGGCAATTCTCCTGCCTCAGCCTCCTGAGGAGCTGGGATTACAGGCACGCGCCACCATGCCCAGCTGATTTTTTGTATTTTTAGTAGAGACGGGGTTTTACCATGTCAAGCAGGATGGTCTCGAACTCTCGACCTCGTGATCCACCCGCCTCGGCCTCCCAAAGTGCTGGGATTACAGGCTTGAGCCACCGCGCCCGGCTCACCCAGTGATTTCAATTGACTCAGCTACTGCCCATATTCTAGTCTCCAGACTCCACTCGGCAGGACCTACTGCCCTTACAAAATCAATAGTTCTTCCCACCCGCTGTTTCCTCAATGGCAAGCTTCCCCCACCTGGATTCAAAGGGAGGTCCTTAGAGCCTTTCTACTCCAATTTCTACCCCCATTTCACAGGGAAATTGAGGCTCAGAGGGAGGAAGAGACGTTAGACTGTAACACCAGTCACTAACCATGCTAAGTGTAGGACCCAGATTACCTAATTAGTAGCCTCAAGCTCTACCATCTTTTCACACAGCAGGCCACATGCTACCTCTTTTTCTCTCCTACCCATGCTGAATCACTCACCCACTCCCCTTGAGTCTTTCTCAAATACAGCTCTCCTTCAATATTATTCTCACCTATTGTCACTGTTCTGGTCAATCCTCCTTACCTGTCACCTGAATTGTTGGGACAGATTTCCCAGTAATTTCCTAACAGGCAGCAGGCCCCCATTCTGCCCCCTGAACTCGAAGGTCTTTCACATTCTGCACACCCCACCTTATCCACATTAACTTCCTTTTTCTTAGTGCCTCAACAAACAGGTATTTTTTTCACACTGTGTGCCCTGGGTCTAGGTAGGCTCAGCTCTCTGGAACACAGACATATTGGGTGGCTTGCGTCCCCCAGAAACTCCTTTTGGTGGGAAGTTATAATAAATAAAGCAAATGATGCAAGGAAAGATCTGAATCAAAGCTTTGACTTACAGGCTGCTGAAGGTGGGGAAAGCTTTCCGACTGGGTGGCTGGGATAGAGAAAAGAAGCCTTCTCTTCCCCCAGCTATTCCTTCCACAAGACGCACTTCTGTCGTCTCCAAAATCAGTATTAGAACAGCCTCTGGGCCTCCCCTTGCTGCTTATAAGCACTTCTCAGTCCACCATCAGAACCCATCTTTCTGCCAGGGTGCCAAACATCTTACACTATAGTTGTGGGCCTGTGACCGTGCTGCCTGCATATTCGGCTGTGCACATCCAAGAATTTTACCCAACTAAAAGTTGTAAACTGGTTCCATCTCCACACCCCCAACCCTTTTTTATGAATATAGCCACATATGAAGGTCCTTTTTTTGCATTTACCCATTTGTGTCCTTTGCTGACAATGACCTGCCCCTCCAATTCTGCTTGATGAAATCTTTAAGACCCAACTTGAATGCGACCTCTTCCATGAAACCAATTTTCCTTCAGCAGAAGGAATCTCTCTTCTCTGAGCGCCTATGGATGTCTATTTACATACACATTCCTGCCTTGTCTTAGTGCCTTACATAGACTCTCCTCGGCTGAATCTGGAGCCCTTGGAGGGGTAGAGTAAGCACGTCACTCAGTCTGTAGCTGAACCTAGCAGCAGGTGCAGTATGAATGTCTGCCTCACCCACGGTAGGGACAAGTGCCTGCTGCCCGCGGACGCAGGGCTTCCCGTCTGCGTCACTCACTTTTAGGTCCACCTAACACAGTGGACCGGACACGGTTAGGTCACACAGCCAGAGGAGTCTGCCCACTTCGGTCAGTGGCTAGGGTGCACGTACCTTCTCTACTGTCTGGGTCCAAATGTGTTGTGTGTGTGAAGGAAGTCGGGGCCAGGTAGCCCCGCTGGCTCATCCTCCGCGTCCACCCTGAGGATCTCCGAGTCCCAGAAGGCCTCCTTCCAGTCCGAGGACCTCAAGAAACTCCAGCGGCGGTGCGGAAGCTATAACGGCCTTTACCACGGATGCGTCTCTCACTAGCCTTTAGTTTAATAAATTTATTTATATTTTTTGGAAGGAGGGAGCATTCAATGAAGGGGAAGAGGCGGGGCGAAGGGCGGAGGCGGGCCCAGGGTGACTGACGTGAGCTCCGGGGAGCCAATGGCCCGTGGGGGGCGTTCCCCCCCATTCAGGACTCCTCGCCTGGCTCGGAAGGTATGTTGAACAGCTGCTTTTAATTTGGTCCCCCCAATCTCGGTGGTTTGGGGGGCTAATCCGCCGGCCGCTCGGTCTGGCCGGCCCGACGTGGTGTGGGCCCCGCGGGCCCTGGGACCGAGCTGAGGGGAGGCTCGGAGTCCCGCGGCCGAGGTAGGCGAGGGACAGGCCAGGAAGGAGAGCTCTTGGCGCCGCCCGCTCGCCTGTGTGTGTGTTTCCAGCCGGGCCGGAGCCGTGGGGAGGGGGTCGCTCCGGCCTGGGGTCGTCCCTGCGCCGGCAGTGCCGCCTAGTTTATCTCACCGAGCAGTCGGTTTCGGTAGGTTTTGGCGGCGTACTGGAGAAGAGGCGGGCAGGAGACCCCCGCTCCTGTTGTGCCTTTTTCAAAAAAAGAAAAACATTAGGAAGGAAAAGGGGGATTCCGCACGCCGACTAGAAGCGGGCCCGGGCTGCGGCTTGCAGCCTCGGCAGGGGGCGGCGGCTCGAGCATGGTCGGCAGGGCCCATGGAGCTCGCGGCGCCCGGAGTTGCTTGAGAGCTGGAGTTAGCGAGCGAGCCGGGGCCCGCGGCTTTCCCGGCTACCCACGCTGAGCAAGGGCGGCAGCCGCCCCGAGGGTTTTGTTTCTGCCCGCAAACTTGTCGGAGGGGGCGGTGGGCGCGCTCTGGAGAGGCGCGGGCACAGTGGGCCCGCGGTTGTTATGGACTCTGGGGGCGGGGGCAACACCGGACTTGCGGGAGGGGCGGCCGGGGGCGGGAGCGGCCACCGGAAAGAGCCCCTGCGCCTCGCCGCTAGCTGCCGGGGCTCCGAACTCCCTGGCCGTGGCGGGCGTCAGCATTCGGTGCCAGAACCCGACAGGCCGCGAGCCGGCGAGGAGCTCGCGCCGGTGGTGGGGAAAACCCCCGGGAACTCGGCGGCTTCGCCCCGCGGCCCCGGCTGATCCCCTTGCAAACATGGAGCTGCCTGCTTCCCCGCCCACCCCAAGGCGGCGGCGGCGGCGGCGGCGGCGACTGCTGCTCTTTTCCCCTCCCCCGGCCGTGCCGCCGCCGGGCCCCCCCTTCCCGCGAGGTGCCACTGCGGGCCGCTCCGCGCGGATGGGGCGGGGGCGCGGGCGTGTGCGCGCCCACGAGGGGGTGGCCTGAAAGGGGCAGTGAAGGTCGGAAACTGGGAAAACAGTCTCCATGCTCGGAATCGGGAAAAGGAAATGCATCAGCGGGCGGGAGGGGCGCGGGGGGCGCGCCTGTCAGCCGGGATGGCGGCCGCGAGCGGGTAGGCGGGGCGCCGGCGCGAACCGTCCCGGCCGGGCGGGGCAACGCCGGGAGAGGCGGCGCAGGGGCTCCCGTCCACCGAGCGCCAGGCGGCCCCTGCCGGCACTCCTCGACCCAGACTGTTTACTATCTACTCCGCCGGCGGCTTGTGCAACCCGCCCGGAGGGGAGCGGAGGGGCGGGCCCGTTTCCTCTCTCCCACCTACCTCGGGCTCGCCCGGAGGCCCCGCCTTCTCTTGTCTTCCACTGGCTGGGCGAGACCCCCTTTTTCCTCCTTCTCGGACGTGGATTGGATGACATTCTCCCGAGCTCCGCCTATCGGGAGGCCGGGCTGGAGTTTAAGTTGCTAGGATTTTTTTTTCCGCGGCGGGAGGAGGGAGGGTTCCTGCCGCTGACGAGGGGCGCAGGGTCCCGCCCCCGCCTCTGATTGGTGCAACGGGTAGCCCGGCCTCCTCCGGCTCCGCGAGCTGGGAGTGGGAAGTCCACCCTGTTCCCCGCCTCCTCCCTTCGCTCCTGAGCGCGCTCGGCACATGTGTGAGGCCCGCCTAGCTCCTTCGAACTGCCCTCCCGCCCGGAAGTCCTAGGCTCGGCGCCCATGGCGAGGGGGGCGGGGATAGCCGAGAAGCCACACAAAGGTTCCACCGAGGCTCGAGACCTAGTAGCCTTCGGGGTGAAGCCAGGGGATTGCAGTGAGGAGTGGATTTCGGTAGCGAAGCTCCGGAGGTTCTGCAGGGTTGAGATCTGCCCTTCGTGGCCGGGGCCAAGTACTAAAGTTCTAACCCTGTGGCTTGGCTATTTCCGCGCCCCTTGACTTCTCTGAGTTTAAACTGAGAGCTCTGTAGACGCTGGAAGCGTTTGTTCCTCCCTAGGCATGGTAGCTGCCGTCCTTAGTTGGCTGTGTCTGAGACTCCTGACAACCTAGAGCGCTGGCCTGGGACCCTTTGGCGAGATGCGGCGCAAGTGGTACCCTGTGATCTCGGGACGTCGTGAGCGGCCTAATGCTGGCTTGGGTTCTGAGTAGTTTTTGATAGCATGGTGAGCCTGCCCCGTGATACTCAGTCTAGTGGTGGAAGGGGAGCAAAGTTAGAAGTAGCCTTGGGTCGGTTCTGCTGGAGTGCCTGCCACTTCCTCCTAACTTCCCAGCGGTTTGGCCCGGGGGTCGCTTCGTTGGTCTCATTTTTAGAGCTCCGTTCCCGGGCAGGGCTTGGCTACTGGCGAGGCTGCTCCCACCTGTCGACTCCCCATGAACTTCACAATTCTCTGCCGTGGTTTCGTGGCTCGAAGCCATCATTGGAGTCAGGCCCACCTGCTGCCAGAGCTCGTTCCTGGCCATTTCCGCTGGATTGCAGAGGGAGGACAGAGTTGGACCTAGGAGTGGGTTCACTGGGCCTGTCCCTTGGGGTCTCAGCTCTCTGGAAGGAGGATTCGACTTCCTCCTCCGGAGTGCGGTAAAAACCTAATCCCGCCCCCTCTCCTAGCGCTGGCAGTGTCCCCCCAAAGTAAGGTCAGCTCAGGCCCACGCCCTATTTGGTGAATAAATAAAAGCAGACTAGGAATTGAAAGCACTTTGTCTCACTGTGTGTTCGAGGCACTGTTACCTATACAGAGAGGGCACAGGGACTGCCCTTAACACTCCTGGCCAAGGAGAAGGTGAACAGCCGTTTTATGTCCCCAACTACGGAAGTTTTATCATTTCTCTGAGTGTGACATGACCCCAAAGTTAATTTATGCCGTGGCCTGTTTTAGTCTTTTCCTCTCCTTTGTCAGTTCTGAGGATGCCTCCAGATCCACCGGGGAGATCGTGAGTACTTGTGCCTCACGCTCCGCCCTCCGGAGGCTTGCCAGGGCGGTGGCTGTTAGGGCCCGCCTCTCTTTGGGTTATCTCCGCCCTCCTAGGACTGCATATTCAGCTCTAGGGAGTGGGCTGGACACCCATGGGGTTATTTCTCTGCTTAGGTCTCCAGACCTTATTCCGTACTCGACTCGGCTGAAAAGAGTTGCCAGCTGCCCCGGGTATTTGTGTTTACGAGGATGCAGTATGTAGACTGTAAACTGTAACTAGATGGGGACGATGAGTTCTCACTCTCTCATTTTTCTGTAAGGGAGTCCTCCAGGGTGGGCTGCCTTTCCTCTTCAAATCCTAGGATGTGGGGTCTCTACTGATGAGCTCCGCGCCGCGTCCTGTCTCAGGCCCTGGAACTCCGAGCTTCAGTCTCTAGTGTAAACATTCCACAAAAGGACTGCTAAGGTTCAGCCTCCTCGCGCAGGGCGGAATTAGTTCCTTCCTAGACGGGCAACCTGGCCAATGGAGGGTCCTACCAGCGCCAAGATAACCAATCCCATTCTTGGGGCGGGGCCTGGCCCGGCAGTGCGGTAGGCGGAGCCTGTTTCACTTACAGACATTTTACCCCACATCGGTTACTTACCTTCCTGGGGCGGTGGGAGAGCCAGGGGTAGCCTTCCAATGCTATGACCGGCGGAGGCGGGAGCCAACTTATTAGGCCTGTGGCTGAGACGCTGTGGGGTGGGATATGTGGTGTCCTCCAATGAGACGGGAAGAGCTTCCCGGCTTCCTCCAATAGTGTTGGGGCTCGGGGGTGGGCTTCAGCAGTCCGTCTCCAATAGGCGGGGTTGAGTTAGGGAAGCTCCCCGCCAATAGGGGCGTGGAGAAGGTGAGCGGCTCCCCCTCCCCTCCCAGTCGAGGGGGAAGGGGCGGGAAGTCAGCAGGTAGGCCTCCGTAATTGGCTGAGTCTTTGATGGGCGGGTATTGCGTCCTGTGCTGGAACGAAGCTGAGTCTTCCCTCTGCGGGGCGGGCCGGGGGAGTGGGCGGGATTTCCCGGGTAACAGAGAAGCGGCCGCGGCGGTAGAGGCGGCGGAGACGGTTTCTCCATCTTCCCCCCTCCCCTTCCCCCCTCGGAGTTTCCCTCCCTCCCTCCCTCCCTCCTTCCCAGTCTGGGCACGGGAGCCTGTGACCGCTTCGTTAGCGGAGAGGTAGCTGCCAGTCCGCTTCGGCGGGCCTGTGCCCCGCGCTGTCCTCCGGGCCTCCCTACTGAGCTCGCGGCTCACGCCGAGAGGGACACGCAGTGACGAGCGGCCGGAGCAGCTTTGCGGTGAGAGCACGCAGGGCCGGCGGTCGGGCGGGAGCCTAGTGGCGGGTAACGCTGGACTCGAGGGTGTGTATTTTTAGGGGGGGCTGACCTCCTCGGCTTCCCGTAGAGCAGACGGGCGGGAGGTGTGTGGCGGTGTGAGGGGGGTGGGGGGCGGAGCGGGGTAGCGCTCCGCGCGGGAGGGGGAGAAGAGCGTAGTCCCGGTGCGCGCGGAGGGGGGCGGGCTCTCGCGCCGCCGCCGCCGCTCAGAGGCGGGGTCGGCGCGCGCGTGCAATTGTGGAGAAAGGGGCGGGGCCGGCCTCGGGCTGAGTGCGGTTTGCGGCCGACTACCCACTCCTCTGCTCCGGGGGTGGGCGGGGCCTCGGGTTGGCGGCGCGCTCCGGCCTGCTGGGGTCGGGGACGGGTAGGGGGGTCTCCCGCGTGTAGACTCTGGGCGCGGCAGGGAGGGGGCGTGAAGTCTGAGTTCCTCCGCCTTCTCGGGATCCGGTTGGCCTGAGGGGCCGTACTGATCCGTGATGCCACTCCCCTTGGCCGTCCCCCCCGGCCCGGGGTTTCCGCCTCCTTGGCAGTGAGGCGGTGCTAGGGAAAGCCCGCTGTCGGGTCTGGCTGGGAGTCTCAGCGTCTAGATCTGCCCCGCCCTATGTCTCCGTGGTGTGGGAGGGGCCCCCGCCCACTGGGAGCTGCAGAGGTGTCAGGACTTACTCTAGTGGCTCGGTCATGCCTTCTGCCTGGGGCAAGAGGGCTCTGTTCCGGAGCTGTTTTCTCCGCTTTGCTCCTTGCAGCGTGTCTGGCACCGTGCAGGCTGGAGAGTGGGAGCACGGTCACTCCCACTCCCCTCTTGGTTGTAACTATTGGGGCGAAGTGCTTTTAGGTCCTCCCGTAGGAGCGTGCGTGGCTGATGCTGGGACGCTAGTTCTGCGGTGGTGATGGTGGGGGAGGGGAGGAAAGGGGAGTCGTCGGAGACTAGAAATGTGGCAGAGGGAAAACCTTCCCTGGGGTTCCCTTGATGTTCAGTTACCGTGGCTGTGCGGGGCGGGGCTTCCTTTGAGCCAATGGGTGGTGGGTAGTAGACTTGGCGTCTGTTTCGGTGCGTTAGGACTTTAAACCCAGTTAGCCTTGAAAAGGCAGTGGAAGCTCCTGTTTGCAAGGCTGATTTATAACAGTTAAGTTTGGATTTACATTTTAATCTCAAAACTGGTCTGTTTATAAAGTAGGTGTTTTGTGTTTTGTTTTTGTTTTTAAAGAAAAACTCAGACTTTGAATAAAATAATATCTTTGACACTTGTATTTTTGAATGCTTCCATTGTGCAGATGATTCTGGTATATAAACTTAGTTTCCCGGCAGGGTGCGGTGGCTCACTGAATTTTGGCAAGATAAGGTGGGTGGATCACTTTGAGGTCGGGAGTTCAAGACCAGCCTGCCCCACATGGCGAAACCCCATCTAAGTACAGGTGAAAGTCTTTTCTTTCTGGTTTTCTTTAATACTATTAGAATCAGTAGAAAGTGCTCAATAAATCTAGACCACTTTCTGCTTAGAGTCTACGTAGTACAGTGTTCCTGTTCTTTTTCTTTCAGAGTCGGGTGAAGTTGTGGATCAGGGTAGCCTTTTGTATGTGACTTTTGTAGCATTGCCCTCCACCCCGTATTGGAGAGTCACCTTAGGACGTTTCAGATACGCAGAACCACATTAGATGAGGCTTTGGCATGATACATTATATTTTCCTATTGAGAGAAATTATTTCAATGTTTTTCACATTTTTCATGAGAAAATAAGCATGGAACCAATGTTTATTTATGTAGTGATATCTAAATGAGCCTCTGGTTAATTACCTGAAGTGCAATTCTAGATTTGTGCTTTGGTTAATAGGGCCGAGTGGTGCCCTGTGCTATATAATCTGTGAAAAGGGTAGGTCCTACCTTCTTCTCTGCTGAGGATGTTGCAAAAGCAGCAGCATTTTAGTTTAGTTAATGATGACTGTAGTATAATTGGTGGGGAGACAAAAAAATCCAGGGTTTTTTTTTTTTTTTTTTTTTTTTCCGATGCCATAAACTGGGAGAGATAGTGGAGAATGATTGACCATTGAGGAAAATTTGGTTTGCATATAGTAGTTCCCACCATTTGCAGTGCTGTATACCGGGGAACACAGAAGAGTCTAAGGATTCAACTAAGAACCTGGTTTTTCTGTATTAGGACCGTTTCCATAAATGCTTCATAATCTCCAAATACCAATTTTGTATATTACAGTTTTGTTCAGGGATAATAGCTTGCAAAGATCGGCACGTTGTAATTAAGATGGTTTTAATAATTTACATACAGAGAAGGATTTTTTTTTTTTTTTTAAGGAAGGAGACGTGTAGTAATTTGACAAGATTCCTGGCAAAGCATAATTCTGTTTACACTTTCCGTGTGAACAGACAAGACACTGGAGAGCTGTGCATGGCAGATGTTAGTACCTGGGCATTTTAATGGAATTAAAAGGTTATGTCCATGGCAATCAGTAATATAGCATAGTGCTTTTCAAGGCTTTCTCACTTTTCTAGGCAATTCCACCAGCCAAGAGTTTTTTTTTTTTGTTTGTTTTGTTTTGTTTTGTTTTTTTGAGACGGAGTTTCGCTCTTGTTACTGAGGCTGGAGTGCAATGGCGCAATCTCGGCTCGCCGCAACCTCCGCCTCCTGGGTTCAGGCAATTCTCCTGCCTCAGCCTCCTGAGTAGCTGGGATTACAGGCATGCGCCACCATGCCCAGCTAATGTTTTGTATTTTTAGTAGAGACCGGGTTTCACCATGTTGACCAGGATGGTCTTGATCTCTTGACCTTGTGATCCACCCGCCTCGGCCTCCCAAAGTGCTGGGATTACAGGCTTGAGCCACCACGCCCGGCCCACCAGCCAAGAGTTTGTTAAGCTTTACTTTCTGTAGCCCTTTAAAAAAAATACATAGTATATTCTTTTTCAAAATATATCCTCTTTGCCTCTTGAATAATAAAAGCTTGTATTTATTGAGCACTTACTGTGTCACAGTTCCTGTGTTAAGCGCTAGACTTTTTTGTAATATTTTTTTTTTTTTTTTTTTTGAGACGGAGTTTCACTCTTGTTACCCAGGCTGGAGTGCAATGACGTGATCTCGGCTCACCGCAACCTCCGCCTCCTGGGTTCAGGCAATTCTCCTGCCTCAGCCTCTTGAGTAGCTGGGATTACAGGCACACGCCACCATGCCCAGCTGATTTTTTGTATTTTTAGTAGAGATGGGGTTTCACCATGTTGACCAGGATGGTCTCGATCTCTTGACCTCGTGATCCACCTGCCTCGGCCTCCTAAAGTGCTGGGATTACAGGCGTGAGCCACCGCACCCGGCTGTAATTTTTTTTTTTTTTAAGATGGAGTCTCTCTCTGTTGCCCAGGTTAGAGTGCAGTGGCGCCATCTCAGCTCACTGCAACCTCCACCTCCCAGGTTTAAGTGATTCTCCTGCCTCAGCCTCCTGAATAGCTGGGACTAGAGGTGAGCCCCACCGTGCCTGTCCAATTTTCGTATTTTTTAGTGATGGGGCTTCAATTCACCATGTTGACCAGGCTGGTCTCAAACTCCTGGGCTCAAGTGATCCACCTGTCTCAGCCTGCCAGAGTACTGGGATTACGGGCATGAGCTACTGCACTGGGCTGCATAATGTCTTCCTTTTTTTTTTTTTTTTTTTTGAGACAGTCTTGCTCTGTCACCAGTCTGGAATGCAGTGGTGCGATCTCGGCTAACTGCAACCTCCGATTCCCAGGTTCGGGTGATTCTCCTGCCTCAGCCTCCCGAGTAGCTGGGGCTACAGGCACATGCCACCACGCTCAGCTAATTTTTGTATTTTTAGTAGAGTTGGGGTTTCACCGTCTTGGCCAGGATGGTCTCGATCTCTTGTGGATCTTGAACTTGTGATCCACCAGCTTTGGCCTCCCAAAGTAATGAGATTACAGGCGTGAGCCACAGCGCTTGGCTTTCGTCATATTGTAGTATGCGTTAGAATTTCGTGTTTTTTTTTTTTTTTTCCTTTCAAGACAGAGTTTGGCTCTGTTGCCCAGGCTGGAGTGCAGTGGCATTGCAGCGTTGACCTTCTGGAGTGAAGTGATCTTTCTGCTCTTAGCCTCGCAAGTAGCTGGAACTACAGGTGGGTGCCACCACACACCTGGCTAATTTTTTTTATATTTTTGTAGAGATGAAGTCCTGCTGTGTTGCCCAGGCTGGTCTTGAACTCCCGGGCTCAAGAGATCCTCCTCTTTCAATCTCCTGAAGTGCTAGAATTACAGTCGTGAGCCACTGTGCCTGGTCATGGTGGCAATTTTTAACTGATATATTTCTTATTTGCCCCTCCTTTGCTTTTGTTTTCCCTACCCCCATCTCTGTCTTGTGTGCTTGTATGTTACCCATATTTCCTAGCATGACAGTGGACCCTTCATGAGTCCTCTTGGTGTCCTCCAGGGTTAGGCTTGCTGACATGTGGGCTGTTGGAGGATATGCAGGTCCACATCCTTTATTTGCAGTTCTGAAATGCAAGAGTTTGTTTGTTTTTTGGTAAGGCTAGTTCCACAACTAATTTTGGGGCACAGCCTAACTGGGCTGTCCCACATGATGCAGAAATGTGACTGCTTGATTATGGGGAACTACCCTAGCCCTAGCTGGGAGAGAGAGATGATACAGTGGATATACCGTATTACCTTTCTAAAATCCAAACTGCTGATGACTAACTGGAATCTCTCCATCTACTGTAGACTAATATGTCTCATGGCCCACACAAGGTCTTCACTCAGTGTCTCCTCTTGGATATTTAAGAGGCATTGTTGACTCTTTTCTGTCTTTTTCATATGTGGTCCATCAGCAAATCTTGCTCTAAATTCAAAATACTACCCAGAATTAGACCACTTAGGACCTGCATCTTCATTACCCTAGTTAGTGCCTTTGCATCTCTAGCTTGGAGTCTATTCAACCTGCTTTGTTACTGCAACTCTTAAATCTGTTCTCAACA